ACGGCCAAAGAAAGAATTTCAATAAACATAATAGTTTTTAAAAATACTTTATTTTTTCTTCATCATTAACATTTTTATTAATGTTAATTGATTAAATATTCCTAGTTTTAAGATTACTCAGATTATTCTTATAGGAAGATTTATATTTAAATGTTTAAATTAATAATTTCCTTCTATTTTAAAATGTATATCAAAAATATAGATATATATTATTATAGTTGTTAAGTTGATATTATGGATTATTTTAATAGAAATAAGGAGACTGTTAACTATTTCAAGTTCTAAAGTTATAATGGTAGTTATGGATAATTCTAATTTATTCCTAATTCTCAAAAAAAATACTTTTCTATATGTGGCATAGTAATTCCTTATTCAATTTAATATATCATCTTTGTCTAACGGTTACAAAAGAGATATGATAATAAAGTTCTTTACTATTCACCCAAATTCTTAAATTTGAATATTAATTAGATCCTATAAGACTCAATTTCATCAAATGATGGATTTATATCTTATTAGATGATTCCTAAAAGTAATATATAAATACAAAGAAATTATTTAATTTTTAAACTTATACTTGATCATCTATTATATGGATCATCTAATATATGTGTAGCAATAATATATCACCTGAAAATATGTCACAAAAATAAATTTTTGTTGTTTTCTAATTTTCTCTATAATTATATCATGGATTTTTATAATTAATTAAATTAATCAATATACATGTTTATAGATAATTATTATTTATATAATTACTTGAAAGTGTAAAAATTACTTTTTGTAAGATTACTTTAGGTAGACAAAATTAAAAAAAATATGTTGGTTAAAATTAATAAAAAGTAATTAAGTAATCATATCAATAATTTTAAATTAAAAAATTACAATATCCAGAAAGTAGGCTACAAATTCCCTTGTAATAATAGTTTCTACCAATTAAAATCCCTTATAAATTTTCAAAATACAACAGGTAATTCTTTTCACACCCCATAAAATATAGTATAATATCCAGAAAGATTATTTATAAACATAATAAAAAAAGCATATATTTCTAAAATTATTATCAATCATTTTTGTTCAGATTTTAATTTAATTTAATTCTAAAGATTAATTTCAATATTTTTATTCTTAAATACTAATAATGATTAATTCTCATATTAATTATTAGAGTTACCATTATAAAAATTTAGTTTATATTAATTATTTTTTTATTTATATTGTAATAAATTAATATAATTATAATAATAAATACATTTTCAAATTTATTAATGCTAAAGTAAACTTCCTTAAAATAATATATCTATTATGACAATTTATTTAATTTACATTAATCAAGTTTGAATTAATTAATTATAGTTTTACATCAAAAATTTATTATCAGAATATTTATTAAGAGAAATATATTTTAATATAAATAAAACAATTTCTAATAATATTTTATATAAATTATAATAATTCATTTGAGCAATTTTTTCGCTTTAACAATTAAATTATCAATTATGTAGGGTTTGACGTATTATTTCTCAGATTATATCACTAAAAGAAATTTTCCTGAAGGGAAATGAGAGGAAACCTATTATAATATTTATATAATGATAAAACTTCAGTGATTGAGATTCTTTAAAATTCACCTTTTCCTCTGAGAAGTATTTATGTTTATCCTTTAAATATTGGTTTTCCTCTAATGTTGGAATAAACTTCTTTTGGAAATTTCTCCGATGTGTATCTGATTTATAAGGGAATTTTACATTCTTAAAAATATAGGACAGTCCTCATCCTCTATAAGATCTCCATTCATATCTCTGATACTAACAGATAAATTGAACATCCTCTCTCGATATATTTCCTTGATCTCTTCCTCTAAATTCAAGTAGGATATAAAATTCTTATGACCCAATTGACTTAAAATAAATTGATGTTGGCTAATTTAAATAAACCTGATACTTCTGTCTTTGCATAGTGATTCTGGATTAAAATCCCTATTTAGGGACAATTTTATTGGGTAAATTTTCGATGCACTTTTTTAAAGAGTCTAATCCAATAGACAAATTATGCTGGATAAGACTTTATGTTTATAACATATCTCTCATCATTTTGATATTTAAGTCTTTTTATTTTTCTAAGAACTCTTTTAATTCCTACATAATAATTTTTAAATTTATCTAATTATGATTCATTCAATAATTTGAAACATTTGAAATATATATTTGTTTAGAATAAAGGGAAATTTATTAAAATTACTATATTATATATTTGCTGTTGATTTTTTTAGTTAACTTTAAATTTAAATTGTAATCTATTGAGAAGAAGAACTTAATTCATTTCATTAAATTATTATATAAAAAAATCATTTGCTTTGATTTCAATGTTAGAAGCCTGGTTTTTAATAATGACTTTAAACATAATTAGATTAAGTTGCATTTGGATGTGCTAAAATACTGACCATTTTTCCTTCACCCATCTCTTAATGTTAAGATTTATAAGCAATAATTGATTAATTAGTTTTTTTCCCAATATTAATAACTAAAGGGTTTTATATTTAAGGTATAACTTAATTGAGCATAATAGCATCTCTATTAGCAGCATGGATACCTAAAAATATATATTAATTTTATACCCATTTCTTAAAAGATATTTCCACTAACTGAATCATCATACAACATAGGTATCTATTTTTTTTTAAGTAGATCCCTAGCCTCTTAACAACCCATCTAAGCAGCTTTCTAATATCTTTAAATAGCATAATTGACATCTTTTTTAACATATTTTCCAGCCTCATACATTAAACCCAAATGGAAATCAGCTTTTGCATTACCTAATTTTGAAGATTCTTCATAAGCATTAAAAGCCTTAGCATAATCTATACTAACTCCTTCATATCCTTATTCATATATAAGACCCATATTAATTAATGCTTCTGAATCCTTCAATTCAGCAGCCTCTTTATAAAATTTAAGAGCTTCTCTCTAATTTTAAGGAACACCAAATCCACTATGGTAGCAATCTCCTAATTTAGTCATGCAAGAAGGATTCTTTAATTTTGCACCTTTAAAATAATAATGAATTGCATTTTGTGGATCCTTTTATACTCCAAATCCACATTCATAAAGATGCCCTAAATAGAAATAAACTTCTGTAATTTCAGGATTTTAGATCATAATTTGAATCAAATATTAATGTGCAAATAAATAATCTTCCTACTTTCCTGAATTACTACAATCTTTCATTACATAATGCATATATTAGAGTCTACATGCAACATCACCTTTCAAAGCCCCTTCTTTATAATAACTTTTAGCTTGTTCTTAATTGACTCCAACTCCATAACCAAATTCATAACATTAAGCCAACCAATAAAGTGAATTAGCATAACCAAGTTCTTTGGCTATTTCAAAATACTTGAGGGCTTTACGATAATTATTTCCTACAACCTTTTCTTGAAATTCTGGATGATTATAATAAAAGAGCCCTAATGCATTAATAGCTCTAGGATATCTAACTTTCTTTCCTTAAGTATAGTAAAATTCAGCTGAATCTAAATTAGGTTCTTATATATCTAAAATATATATGATAAATAATATATACATGATTCACCATCTTCACTTTTAAGTCCATTCTCAAATATCTCTCCTAAATCTACAAGAGCATCTAAATGACCTTATTCACTGGCTTATTAAAAGAATACAACTGCTTCTGATTTCTATTCATCTCTTGTCTATAGTTTCCCTTAAGATAACATTTATCCATCAATTATTTAATCTAATAATAAACGACCAATTCTATAGAGTCCTTCTGCATTTTATTATGCAGCACTCTTCTCCCAATAAGTATATGCTTTGTTCAAATCCTTTGGAAAGATCTTACCTTCAGAAAATATTTAGGCTATAATATTGAAAGCATTAACATCTTAATTAACTTCTGCCAATTCATAGTATAAATTTAAAGCTTCAGTAACATTTTAAGGTCTTCCAATACCATAAAGCATTTCATGTGCTGTTCTCAATCTATCATCTTAAATAGGTTAGTCTCTATAAACAGGAACTTCTTTAACTTTCTCAACATACTCAATAACTTTCTTCTCAACAGGTTTATCTACATATACAATTTTTTCAACTGGTTTATCTACATATACAATTTTATCAACTGGTTTATCTACATATACTATTTTATCAACAGGTTTTTCAATAATCTTAGTTTCTCCTGCTGCACTTGGAAAATAATCATTTAATGATTTAATTAGGAATTATCTAAAATCATCATAATTAAGATTAGTTTTAACTACAAAAATATCTACATTATTATTTTCTAAATTAGGTAATGCTGCCCATTAAATGAAATCTAATTCTATTTTTCTGTATTCATTTTCAAAATTTCTTAAAGCTTCCCCTTTTCCACAACAACCTGCAGCTGCTAATCTACCTAAACTAGCATTAACAGAATTCAAATTATCTTGTGTTGATTTGGCCAAATTTTAATAGTATTCGTTTAATTTAATTTTAACTTTTGACTTATCCTATTCTATATTCATAATCAATTTTTGTTAATCTTAAAAGGGTTTAGAGAATCGTTATCTTGCTTCTTATGGTATTTTTTGATTATCTGCAATTTAGATTGCTACTTTCTCTATAAAAATTTAAATTAAATCAGTTACTAAATGGTTATTCAGTTGCCCATCCCTTAATTTTTGACCATAAAGCAACAGCAACTTAATCATTTTTTCCTTGATCTTATTTTTACTTCATTTATTTTTCTTATTCAACCTGATTAATATATCAAAAATCAGTTACTTCAATATCTTTGATTGTAGTTCTCAAACGATCCATTAGAATTTGTTCTAACTAAGCAATGACATGCTCCTTTTTACCTAAGTCATTTTTATCTTTGCTGCCACTAGCAGGTCTAGCATTTGAATGAGTTGATCTATCCATTTTATTAATATTATTTTGAATTAAGAAAATTACTTGTGAAATATATACTGATTTTCTTCATTATAAATCAAATCATTCAGTTTATGTACCTTAACCTCCTTCTCCAGATTAACCTCCTTCTTCTTATTAACCTCCCTCTTATTATTCTTATTATTCTTTTTATTCTTCTTATTTTTATTCCTTATTTATTTAATATATATTTTTACTTGTTTTTCTTATTCACATATTATTGATTGACCTCCTAAATATGTTCTATCAAAATCTTCAGGAGCTAATCTTGTAGCTGCCATTAATTTTTCTTTAACAGCTTATTCTCTTTATTATGTTGCTTATAGTTTTTCAACTAATTTCAATTCTTATGCTTCTAATTGTTTAATTGAATACTCTTATTTTTCATTTTCCATAATAATTTTTTATTTTTCTCTCTCTTACTCTAATCTCACTTTTTATTATTTCTCATATAATTTTTCTTAAATCACAGCTTATGATAATTTTTCTTCTTCTTTCTTTAATGAAGCTCTTAATTTGAGATTTTAGGCAATTTTAATTTGCTCTTAATTTGTTCTCATCAATTCAAATTTAATGGAATTTTTCATTAATTATGCATCTTAATGTTTCATCTCCCTTACCTCTGATTTCATCTTTTTAAGATGCATTCTTTCATATTAAGTTTACTAATATTTAGTTGGATCTATCATAGATAGTTGATGTTATTTTTATTCTTTCTATTTTATTTATTACACCTGATATAATTACTTTCATCTTCTATGCAAGTCGAGAAGCATACACATCAAGTGCTAATTGTTCTGCCATTTCTACTTTTTTTGACAGTTTCTCATTTTCTTTCTTTAATTATTTGATTCTATTCTCAACAGTCTAAGATTCCAACTCTAATTATTTTTATCTTCTTTTGGCTTCATTTAAACTGAAATCTTCAGATGTTCTTACTGATTACACAGATGAACTTTAATGTAATTTTGGCAACATCTTATAATAATTATTTATATAATAAATTCATACAAAATTATCTCTTAAGGCTTATGATTAAACTATTACTCTCCTTATAGGTTCTTCACTTTTTTCACCTTAAATTGAAGGTTTTTATTAATTATATTATTAAATAACTAATTTTGATTGTCCAATGTCTTATTTCCATCTAAATTAATCATTAGTATTATTTGGAAATTAATTTTCTTTATTACTAATAACATTATATTTCTATTATTATATAAATTATGATTAATAGCCTGAGTTTTATTATCTTTATAGTGGGCTTGATTGTTTCTAAGATTTTTATGGAGTATGTTTTTATTACCAATATTAATTTTATACTAAAAAATATAATTAATAATACATACCTGTACGAGATGCTGAATTTGAATTATCTTAATAACCAATTTTACTATCAGGATGAATGATTTTTTTTATTATTCTACTTGGCATTTTTTCTATTGAAACAGTTCTTTCATGTTAAATCATCATGAAATCTTATGAAGGTCTTTATTAATGATAATTAGATCTTTGTTATTAATTACAAATATGTGGTTAAATTTATATTTAATTTCTATATGGGGAAGATTATTGAGTTTAATTGTATAAGTATTATTATTATTAAAAATTTTAATGATTTTATTAATAATTCTTTTATTATTATTATTATCTATTAACTGGACTTTAATTAGAGATCTTTTATTCATAATAATATTATTATTATTATTATTATTAATATATATGTTATTATTATTGTAATTATTATTATTTCATTAATAACTATTATTATTATTATAATAATTATTATTATTATATCTATTATTCAGATTCATTTGCTATTCGCTATTATTCAAGAAGAAAATTAAATAAATTAACTGAATCCAATCTTTCATTTGGATTAAAATTAAGCATTATTTTTAAATTATCTGCAAATTACTTTCCATAGATAATACCAATTTCATTAATTCTATCTTAAATAAGTTTGTGTTATAATCCATTTTTATATAATATATCACTTGATTTTAATGTACCTGCTTCTAAAATAACCATACCCAAACTCCAAATATCATTTTTATGTAATTAATATTCTGACATTTGTTGAGTAGGTTGAATTATAATCTCTGGAGCCAAATACTTTAATTTACCACTTATAAATTCTTAAATTGCATATCCTCTTCCATTAATCAAATTAGAATCTAATATTTTAAAACTAGAACTATTTGAATCAAAAAATATTTCTTATGTGCAAATATCTGTATGATAATTATCAAATCAATACCTCCATGTGATATTCCCTTTTCTTATAAAAAACTTAAAGCACTAACAATCCCTAATAATAATGCTTATAAATCTTCTTCTGGGAAATATTATTTTGTTCCATATCTCTCTGATAATAAAGAGGCTAATGTGATTGGACAAATCTCAAAATAATATCTAAATTAATCTCCTTCAGGTTAACCTCCCAATGTCTATAAAATATGAGGATGTTGCAATCCAATTCTCCATTGATTTTATTACATTTGATTGATTAAAGTAGGTCCACAAATTGAATCCTGAGTGAGAAAATCAGTCTTGCCATTTGTAGAAGATGGTTCGTTACCCATTTATATTTTTAACGAATTTTTAATAATTTTCATTTATAGGCTTGAAACTTATATAAAATTATAATCAAATTAGATTATCAAAACCATTCACAAACATATAGTTATTCTTAATAAATTAAGTAATAGTTAAATATTATAATTTATTACTCTAATTTAGAGATAGAAGATAATAAATTATATTATATAATAGTATAAATTGAATCATTTTTAAAGATTCAATTATTTTATTGTATTTAATTGAATATAGGATAGATATTATGCTATGTAAGATATATAGAAAGAATGAATTTGGATTACTGTTTTATAATTATAAAATTAATTAAATAAATTTTTTTGATTGTTGATTACATCACATAAAGAGTATTGAACAAAAAATAAATATATAGAAAGTTATCATCATCAAAATCGAAAACTTGTTGTGTGTGTTTTACGATTAGTTTTTTTCATATTTGAGTCAACTGAGATTCCTCTTACTCTTTTTTAACTAACTTAATCAATCCTTCTCCATGAATCAAAATTGAGTTCTTGATTCTATTTGATATTACGCATATCCAATTCATGTTTAATACTAGAGATCTCTTATTTGAAATAATCTTTTTTAACTCTTTGCCATTTAGAAGTAAGTCCCATATATATTGTAGCATCATATTCTGCATCATCTCTTATCTTTCTAGTCAAAGAAATATGATTTTGGATAAAAGATTTGAATTATTCTTTTTGCTTTTCTCTTAGTTTATTTAATGGCAGGTCTCCCAAGACATAAATAGTTTTGTTGAGTTTAGCTTTTGGACTTTCTTTAACGAACTATTCACAGTATTATTTGAATGAGATGTTAGGGTGTTTAGGTAATTGATTTTACTTATTAATCATATTTTATTATATATTGAAAATGATTATGAATAATCGACGAGTGTTTTATGATGAGTCCATTTGGGAACGGTTTGAGAACAGAATAAAAACATGGACATATGGACTCACACATGAATTGTTATAGAATCAAGTTTGTAGTCCATTCTTGTTCAAGTTCCTAATATTGATTGAGCTCATCCAACTTGTATTTTTTGAATTGATAAAATATATAGCTGTACTATTCGATTCATCCAAACTTAGAATTTTTATTCTAGACGGTATGGTTGGAGTACTTCCGTAATGCATTGCAATACTTTTAAGTTAATTATATCATATTCAACGGTGGAGTTAATGTACTGTTAATAGTAATGTACATTGTAAGTTTGATTTTTTGTATTATTTATAGGCTTTTGGTGTTCAGATTCTCATGTTATTCTTACTAATCATAATTACATTCAAACTAACATCAAATAAAAGAAAGCCAAGTACCTTTCTTACATACTGTCTAAAAATATTTTCATTATATGGCTTACTATTGAATACTATTCTGACAATCCCTATATTTAATGCTTTCATTGCCACTATTTATTGCAATTCAGATGCTCCATTCTCAGATGGCTTAGAATGTTATGCTGGTCTACACTTCTTGCATATATCATTGGCTGTATAATAATAAATCATCATAGATAATTGGTTTAATCTTATTCCTAATCAATGTACTCTATTTTGGATTGTTATATGCTGAACTCAATCCAAGTTCACCTATTCCTTTTGCATCTCCACAATCCAAAACTCCATTGGTTAGACAATTAATTAAAATTGTTTTACCACTCTATGTGACTCTGGATTTTAATGGTGAAATATCTAAAGTGTACATATCTCTATTGGCAGCATTTTATTTACTATTATTGGTTTAAAGATACAGATCTCCACCTTATTATAATAAGAGTGTATATGGATTTATTGTAGTCTAAGAAGTGTTACTGTTTTGGGCTAGTTTGGTTGGAGTCATTACTGCATTTCTTGATTTAGGATCAGTTGATGATATTGGATTGTTTTATATGATTTTAGGAATGCCATTGATGTCCTTAGTTTACTTTTAGTTATTGACATTTCGACAATAATAATTATTAAAAACTCCAATAAAATCATTTAAAAAAGAGACAGATATAGAAATATATATAAATCATCTTATGGATTTAATTGAAAATCGTGAAATTCTTCAATCAAGAATAGTTTTAGAAGGTGTATTAAAATTACATTTAAAAAATTGTGGAAAACCAAGTGAAAATTGTGTTTGTCAATAATTGGTAGCTGATAATTTGAAAGATGAAGAGACACCATAAAAATTGAAAAGATGGTATTTATTAATAAAGAGTGTTATTTCTGATGCTTTGGATAGATATCCAAAATGTCCAAGATTACATTTATTAAATTCATACATACATCATGAGAAATTAAAGAATAAATTTAAAGCATTATTTGAATTAATGATCACTGAAGAAAATAAACCAAATTTATAAGAAGAATTTAGTATTTATAGATATAAGAATTTAATTGAAGAAGAAATGATTGAAAATGATATGAGAGCATCTGAAAATAAAGGAGTAGATGTCAATATCATAGTAGTATTCTAAAATAAATTTGTTAATTTCCTTAGTAGTATAGAAAAAAGTGTTACTTTACATATGGAATTTTGGAGAGAATTATTAGAAGAAAATCCAGATATATAGAAATTATAATCACTTGGATCTAAGATTACAAATACTGTTGAATCTACAAGTGATTTCTATAAAAAACTATAAGAAATGAATTAAAATCATATTAAATGTCTATAAGTATATGGTAATTTTTTGAAAGATATTGTTAATGATGATGTTGAAGGTTAAAGAATCTTAGAAAAAGCAGAATATATATAAAAGAGTACTGCTGTAAACAAATTAGGATTGGATTAAGAAAGATAGAAATATGGTGAAAATGCTAATACTTGTATAGTAACTTGTTCAGGTAATTATAATAACATAGGTGTTGTTACTAATGTTAATAATGAAATCACAAGAATTCTAGGATTTTCTAAATCAGATATTATTGGATAAAATGTTAATAGAATTATGCCAAAAGTATATGCAGATTAACATGATCAATTTATGAAGAATTATTTAGAAACAAGTGATTCTAAAGTAATTGGATAGGAAAGAATATTATTAGCTTAAAATAAGAATAATTATTTAGTACCATGTACTCTCATGATTAAAGTCTTGCCTAATTTAGATGAAGGAATTTAGATTGTAGGATTTTTGAAAGATATAGAACCTGGTAGTTCATATTTGAGAAGTGAATAAGAAATTGATTAGGAATGGCATTTTATTATTATTAATGTTAATAGTCAAGCAATTTTAGGAATTACTTAATCCTGTTATACTAGATATGGTATTCCAGCTTCTTTAGTATATGGTAATTCAACTAATACTAATGAATTTACTATTGATGCTATTGCTCCAGAATTAGTGGATATTAAAAATTAAGATGATCTTAAATCTTAAGGTTTGGTTACTACTATTGACACATCTTAACTTCAATAAAATTTCTTATTGGGAAGAGGTGAAAGTGATGATGAAATGTCATTAGAAGAAGAAGAAAATATTTATGAACCTCCATAATAAGTTTCATAAATGTAATCAAAGATAGGAGATTCAAATTTAGGATAAATGTTAAATTAAAATCATCAATATAAAGAAACTGCTGTTGATTTGTCTTAATAAGTTTAGAATTCAAAAATAGAAGAAGCAAAGAGTAAAAAATTATAAAAATAGCAAAGATATAAAAAATATAAGATTAAAGCTTTTGTTTAAGATGAAACAGAATTTGGTGATTAAAAAATATAAATTATCAGATTCTATGAAGTTGATGAAAATGAAGAAATTAAATAATAAAGATCAATGGAACCAGCAGCTGAAGAAGCATAATAGAATTAAATGAAAACAGTTATGAAAGATGAATAATAAGTTTAAGAAGATGTAAATGCATCTGAAGGAGAATCTAATTTATCAGGTGGTTCAGTGAATGATGATATGAGATAATTAAAAGATTTCAAAGCCTTGATATCTGAAAAAACAGAACCAAAATATATACGTATACTGAAACGAACTGTATGGTTTATTATGTTAATACTAATTGTTTTGAGTGCATTAATATTGGGATATAGAATGAGTCAAAGTTCAGATGTTTAAGAAGGTGCTGATTCCATATATTTATCATATATGAGACATAATATTATGGCAGATGTCAATTTTTACACTAGATTACTTTAGATGTTAGGAAATAGTACTTATATAGCAGAAAAACATGGATATACTTCAACAACTGCAGATACATATATAAAAGCTAATGTAATATTATGATATTATTAATTAGTTATCCTATTTAGTAGATACTTTAAAAGTAGTATAATTCGATGTTATAAAGGCTCGTATAAAAATGGAAGCAAGAATGACTGAATCAACTAATTTGGAAACTTATTAAGTATCATTTTTGTTAACATCAGGAGAAAAGAAAATGTATTTTTATTTTTATTATAATTTTAGTTATGAAAACATTTTTAATGATGCATTATTTTAAATTATTACATCAGCTTCTTCACTCAGGAATTCTTCTGCAGCATCATTTAATGGATCTGTAACTACAGTGGATAATACATAAAAGAATTTTTATTATGTAATGACTAATGGATTATTTGTTTTGAGAAAGGGATCAGAAAATATTGCACAAAGATTCTTCGATTTTTATTCTGATGAAATCAAAAATTATTAAGTAACTTTCTTTGTTATTATGGGTGTTGGTATATTTTGTTTAGTAGTATCTGCAATGATCCTCATTCCTATTGTATTTTAAGTTCATAAAACAAATAATATGGTTATGTCATTATTTGGTATTATTCCAATATAAGAAATTAAAGAATTAGCTGCAAAATGTGAAAATTATATGTAGGAATTTTTGGAAGATAAAAATGAAAAGAAAGAAATTGTTGATAAAGAAGATAAACCACCTTAACCTAGTGTTTAACCTCCTGAAGTTGAAAAAACATAAAATAAAGATGTTTTTGAAATGAATAATGAAGAAGAAGATAGAAGTGATAAAAAGAAAGCTTAATA